TAAGCTTGTTACCCACGACTCTGGCGATACGGATGATTCGTCATGGAGGGGAATAGAGGATGACGTGCTGGAAGATTTTGAGTATTTTCAATCACTTGCGTCGAACGATTTTCGAGGGTCGACGCCGAAACGAGAAAGAAGAATCGAATCGGTTATTGCAGAGTTGCGGAAGAAAAAGGAAGAAGGAGCCGGTGGAGATCCTGGGGGTTCCCTTGAAATGAAAATCAAGCGTATGCGCGAGTTGTCAAACGCTAAAAAAAAGAAGAGAAGAGCAAATTCTTTACTAGATCGTGGAGCTGTTGTGGGCGAAGCTGTGCGAGTAGATATCGTGCTGAGTAACTCACTGCATTTTCCAGTGTTCTTAGACAGTCTTGCAGCCGTGGTTTCCTTCGATGGAAAAATATGTACAGCAAAACGAAAAGGTGTAGATGCCGATGAAGGGGTTGGCCTAGACATCGAAGGACCTGTGCAGTTTGTTCCAACTGATAATGTTACCCTTGTACCTCGCTCTGTCCAGCGAATTTCTGTTGATGTCATTTCGTCAAAGCCTGGCAAGCTATACTTCCTCGGGGTAACTTGGTTATTTACGATTGGAATGGGAGGAGCATCGGCGAGGAAAAACAAGTTGCCGATGCCTGGGTTTTGCCTGCTTGAGAGGCGAGGTCGTCGTTTGAACTCCAGCAGAAAGCAGAGGGCAAGCGAGACGCCGCTCTACGAAAATGATGAGTCCCTGGTAGCCACGATTGCAACTCCTGAACCGCGCCTTACTGCAACAATATTTAGCAAAGGAAATGGGGTGGTTAATGACCGTCCCGATTCTTTCACGATGCGCGCAGGTGAGACTCGACTCGCAACGCTACTTCTACGGAACGAAGGGAAAATGCCTCTACGTCACGTTGTCTTTCGAATTGGAACCCCGCAGACCTTTTTGGTATCTATAGCTCCCGACAAAATGGCAGAAGATAACAAGCAAATCAGTTTTGCTGTTGGGATGAACGAGCAAACTGAAGTGCCACATGGCTTTGCCGTTGCCGCCCGTGTTTCTGTGAATCTTGAACCAGATGAAAGCATCTCCGTGCCGGTCTTGATCAGGGCAACCATTCCAAACTCGGCTTTTTCGTACCGAGCTAAGGTGAAACGGGGCAGAAAGGGAGGGGAAAACAGGAGAACAGACGATGGGGCAACTGACGCAGACGGCTTGATCTCACGTGAGGCGCGAATGGTAATCGCTTATGGAACGCAGAAGGTACGCGTGAGTCGGATTGAATCACGTTTCACAGTGCAACCAAGCATTATTGTATCGCCACGGTTCTTGCGCGAAGCAGATCCGAGCGTTACGGAGGGCATACATTCTGGTTATCAGGGTGTTCTGCTAGGACTTGAAATTGAGCATGGAGGTCATAAGGTGTCGGAAAACGAAACGTTCGAAGTGACCAACATTTCTATCACTTCGCAGCAAGGCTGGAAGCCACGGCTTTTGCAGAAGCCTGCGATGCTGGAGGATGAAGTGTCGAATGAGATTTGTCAATCGCAAACAAGTTTACGAGTCAATGAAACGGCCACGGTCTTTTTCTTTGTCGTACGCGATTCTACCAGGGCACCGACTGACCCGGCAGTCAGCGATACTGTGCAGGGTTCATGGGAAACGCACTCCGTAGAGCTAGTGCGGGGCGGGATCGGAAAAGAAGCAGGTCGACTACAAGGTCAAGCAAATTCTGAGGTCGCCTCTATCTCGGAGGACCATGAGCTCGAGCAGAAGGCGCGGAGGTACTTTGTGCTCTGCGGCAGTGATGGGGGCAACTTCCCTTCAAGCCGCTCGAAGCAAATGAACGGCAAACTGGCGTACATTTCCGTCGGGTGGAAGAGCTCATCAATCGCACGCGGACAGGTTGATATCCCTCCGATCGACCCTCTGCGATGGATGAGCAAGACGACTCATGGGCTGGCGCCAAGCACCGAACCCCCCACTCTGACAGCTTCAAACGCTGAGCAAAATCCCGAAGACTCCTTGACGGATTCCACAGCGGAAGCCGCAGACTCTCTAGCGGAACCGCAGTCGACGTGGCTCTCCGTACTTGTCGAGCACGCGAAGGACATGGAGCACGACTTTTTCAACGGGGGGCAAGAAGGCCGGTCGGCCTCCACGGTTTCGCCAGTGATCATCCCCGTGGACGTGTTAGTCCGGAACATGTCGCCCTACCTTTTGGATGTGGTCTTCGCGGCGCCGTCGGAGGCGGGCATCGCGGACGGAGACCGCGGGCGGTTCTGGGCAGGCGACGTGGCGATGTCGCTGCGCGCCCTGCCGCCCGGGGGCGCGCGCACGCTGCGCTTGACGGGCGTGGTGACCGGGCCCGGGCGGTACAACATGTCGAAGTTTGCCGTTGTGTTCCAGACGTGCGGTTACCGCAGTGCGCGCGTCAGGTCTCAAGTCAATTTGCCGGCGTCGTACCTGGTGGTGCGCGCAAAGGCGGCAGCGGGACGGCCCGCGGTGACGACGGTGACGGCGGCGGCGGCAGAGGCGGCGGAGGCGGCGGCAGAGGCGGCGGAGGCGGCGGCAGATGAAGGCGAGGTGGTGGAGGAAACGGTGGGCCTGGCGCGTGCTGTCGCGGAGATCGGAATAGGAGCAGGGGCAGATGGAAAGGCGGACGGCGAGCTGGAGGCGAAGGAGGGGGCGGCGGCGGTGGCGAGGCGGAAAGCGGGGGGCAAGGGGCTGGTCCGGTCGGTGTCGCGGTTGCTTCCACGGACGCGGACGGATGAGGCAAGGGGGGGCGATGACGCGGTTTGGAACGCGTCGGACACGGAGAGCGAAGGGAGCGGCGGCTCGTAACGCGTTTTGTTATTTATGGCAGTGGGGCGGATGTATTGTATAGCACGGGAAGAGCGATAGATGAAGATGGCGGATAAAGACGGGGGTGTTGTAAACGGGGCGGGCAAGGCTCTACTCCTTCTTTGTGTGATAGGTTTTCCGGAAGAAGCGCAGAAACAGAAGCAAGTAGGTGGCGTTAATAAGTGCGGACACAGCGAGCCCCCTCCCCCCTCTGCACGGCCCCCGACTCCTGAGCCAGATGTACGGGACCAAGCTCGCAAAGCCCGCGACAAACTGGACGATCTGGCAAGTGGTGATCATCTTCTTCCCCGGAAAGGGGATCTTGAGCAGGGCGGCAGCATAGTAGGCGTACATCACGACGTGGACCAGGGTGTTGAACCACATGCCATACACGCCGATGACGACGCCGTCCTCCAGCCACATCCACACCTCGTACATCACGGACGCGTGGTGCCACACGTGCAGCAGCGTAGGCCGGCGGCCGCGAACGACCAGCAGCGCGGTGTCGGCCAGCTCGTACAACTTGGACAAGAAGAAGACGTACTGCCACCACTGCACGTCGCCCGCGACGTCGCCCGGCGCGCACACCGTGCTCGCCCAGCCGTCGGCGCGCGCCACGCGCGCGATGGCCAGCGAGGCGCCGCCGTGCATGTACAGCGACGAGAGCGAGAGGAAGACGTTGTGCGCCGCGGCGAGCAGCACGAAGGCGCGCGACGCGGCGAAGGCCGGGCGGTGGCGGCGCACGTGGCGGTTCAGAAGCGCGGTCACGAGGAGGTAGGCGGCCGTGATGACGAGCAGGCGCAGCAGGTAGGACAGCGGCGTCGTCGGCCCCGTGCAGGCGGCCAGGTGCTGGAAGAGCGAGCGGAGCGGCGGCGGCGGGGTCGTGCAGCTGTGGTAGCGGAAGGGTTGCGACATCTTGCGGGACGGTGGGAGGTGCGCGCGGCGAGACGCGGAGGGGGAGGGCGGGGGGGGAGAGCGGAGGGGGAGGGCGGAGGGGGAGGGCGGAGGGGGAGGGCGCCGCGATGCAGGCGTTGGCGGTTTGATGGCAATGAGGAGGGCGGGATTGGTGGGAAGAAGGAGCACGTGAGAGGGAGGCGGGTCCTGTGGGAGGCGGTTCATAGGAAATTGATCGGGGCGGTGCCAGCAATGTACAGCTTTTCGAAACGTTTCGCTAAATATTTTGAAGGTTTTCGAAAAAGACAAGACACTTTTATCATTTTACCCTTGCTCTAATACTGTACACGTGTACATAGCTACCGTAGAGCTAGAGATTAGAGCATCTCTACCGCAAAAGGTCTATTTTAGAATCTATTGAGGGGTCTTGGGCCAAGTGTGGAGTTGTGATAGGTAAATCTAATGCACGATTTAACAGATAGAATAAGAATGTTTTCAGAACAGCCTCAACCCTACCGCACGCCCAAAATCTATTCCCTTTCCCTCGCGTCGCACGTTTCCATCATGTTCTGTTCCTCAAAGCACGACTCCAGTGACGAGGACAACTTGTGCTACCTCGCGATAGCAGGCATACTTCCATGCTGTGAGCTCCAGGCTCGAAACACAAGGCGATCCAGGGGCCCAGCCTGGCAAGCGACCAAAATATCATCCGCCAATTTGGCGCGTGATTCTGCACGAGGTGACCAATCATTGCTTGGTTTGTGGCATTCTATTGGATAGAATTGTTCATGAGGCTCATCCGACACTCCATCCTCTCTTAGCCCCCCCCCCCGTCATTGCTGTACACACGACACGTGTCCACCCCGGAACAAATGTGCAGTACGGACGCGACCGACACAAGCCGAACTATCGGTGATTCCATCTCACTGTCGCCGACCAGGTGGGATCCCCCGACGGCTTTAGGCTAGACGTTGACTGCGACTCCCGCCCCCGGGAGAGAGGGCAAACCGATCATCTCCACCCGTAAAGCAGAACCACACCACCCGCGAAATCACTCGCCACTCCACCCTGTCCTACGGGTAGCCGAGTGGATCGAGGCGCACCTCGCTCATTCTCTCGCCGCGCCTCCGTGCTACGAGACGTGCAGTCACTATTATCGCTCTCCGTTCTACGAGAGGATACATAGTGAAACCCACACCACCTCCCCCTAACCGCGCTCCACCGTCACTTCGAAGTAAGGTGAAACGGTACAACGCACAGTTGCATCGGTACCTAAACCATGCCAAACCAAGACTCAGAAAATCGAACACAACAAGCCCCTGATGTTCGGCAACCAGATATTTGGCAGCCGGTTGACGGCCCCCCGTCAGACCATGGCAAAGCAGCAAAGGTCATGCGCAAGATCGCTAATCTCTCCCAGAAAAGCGATGGAATAATCAACGATTTATGTGATGGCATGAAAGACGCAATGGAGGCTGACTCAAAGGAGGAAGGCGTCGACATAGTCAAGTCTGCGTTTGACATAACTGCGTTGTCCCAGACAGAAGTGCTACACTCCAGTCGCCTGTTCTTTATCCTGCGCAACGTTATGCGGATTCTGGGATTTGCAGTCAGAGGAGGAAAGACCATCATACCGCATGTGATGAATCTTTTATTTGAACCCGGCTGCCCAGAACTCGAAGAGGCTCTGGCAATGTATCGAAACTATCGAAACTTGGTAAGCCCTACGGCCCAACCCGCGGAACGCGTATTTCGCGAACAAGACCCGCAGGACACAGGCAGCGAGCCAGGAGTGCTCCAAAATACAACACCGTCAACGCTCCCTGCATCAGAAACGAGGCCCCGCAACATGCCGCCGTTGAATATTGGGCACAAATCTCCTGTACAGAAGTTCTCCCCAAGAGCACAGCCTCGCCCGGAAGGCTTGAATTTCCGAGGAGCCGAAGCTTCCTCATCCCCCCCCTCTGACCCCTCCCACTTCAACAACACGGCCTTCCATCCGAAGTCCATCGGCCCCAGGCCTCCGCAAGCCGAGATACTTCAAAACTTCAGGCGTCTCGAAACAAACAGTATGCCGCCATGCTCGTCAAGGACATGCCCAAGTTTTCAGGCACACCCCACTCTGGAGCAGACCTCGTTACTACCAAGGACATGTTCATGGCCGCGATCTGGGAACATCGTGTAAACCCAACTGAAGCCACAGACATACTGTACCACTGCCTTGAGAAAGATGCACGTCGATATTACTTTGACCACATCTGTGGGAATCACCGGTACATCACCTCGGCCTTCCAGGCATTGTAAGACCGCTTTGACACGACACTCATGCACGCCCAGGCCCGAGCTCTTCTCAATTCAATCGATCTCCGAGAAGTCATGCGGAAGAAATCCTGCGATGAGTCGCATGCACTTCAAATCGTACACGAGCGCATTTGCGAAACATTGCTGAAATGTGGCAGGTCATTGCAAGGAGAAGATCACCGCATATTTGCCCTTCAGCGTGTCGTGGAGACTGAAGAATGGGCAGCGGCGGTTTTGCCCATGACCGGGGACAAGACACTAACCTACTCCGCATTTTTCACAGCTTTGTTTACAGCAGTTAGCGCTTACATTGCGCTAAAGAAACGCCACAACAGAACAGTACTAGACATTGAAAGAGCAGCTCTACCCCAACCCCCCGCACTTACCTTTTACGGATCGCAGTACGCCCGAGACCCCCCGTCACGCCAGGAACGGCGCACCCGTCAACCGCGGCCCTCACCAACGCGCTCTCTCTACCAAAAGCCAAGGCGCTCTGCTGCAGAGCTTGCAGCTCTCAAGGCCCGGACGCGATGCGATTTTTGCAGAGAGAAAGGGCATTGGCGACAAGAATGTCCGAACCGCAAACATTCAATGACAGCTGCCGTGCGCGCACGCATTAAAGATCAAGGCGTCACACCAGCGGCTCTTGCAGAGGTACTGTACGAGATAAGTAAGGAGGACGACACATACCACGAATATGTTGACACCCTCATGGACGAGACGACAACTGAACTTTCCAATCCGATGGCAATCCTCTTGGCCAAAGAGAGTGGTGATGCGAACTACGAGTATGACACCCAAGAGGCAGCTGAAGATGCGGCAGCCATTTTTGAAGACCTGGTCGAGGGCGATTGTTACCCTACGGAACCGGATTTTCACAGGCGAGAGGGCTAGAGGCGGAACCCCTCCCGCAAGAAAACGGCGCTATCCCCGCAAGCGCTATTGGGCCCATACCGTTGAGAAACCCCTACGGATCGTCAACTCAGGACCCTTCCCGCCCTCCCCCACATCCCCCGCCCCACCGCTCATCCACGCCGCACCGCAAGTCACTACGGGACCATAAATCGTCCCCTCCCCCCGGTACTCACCAACCCCTACGACCCTCCCGGGGACATAATCAGCAACTTCTCTCTCGCCTCATGGCAAGGCGAAAGCTGCACAGCAAGCGTCGAGAATTAAGATCTGCCTTAACTTACACCATCAACACTGATCTTCACAAAAATCCAACAAGCTCCAACAGGAAATTGCAGGATAATTTCGTCGGAGCCGTGCTGGATACGGGGGCTCAGAGGTCAGTAATCCGCCTACGCCAAGCCCGCGCGTACTGCAAACAGCACAACATCGAGGTTAACCTATCTTGCTCCCTCACCCGCTTTCGCTTCGCGTCTCTGCTATCCAAGTCTCTTGGGAAAATGCAGATCATTTTACCGACCCCCGGGACTCTGATGCAATTTCAAGTGGACGTTGTTCAGGATGACATACCACTCTTCATAGGGCTGGATATTTTGGACAAGTATGGCCTTCAATTTTTGTCGGTCGAAAACAAACTTCAATGTGTACCGGGGAAGTGGTCATTGCCAATACAACGGAAAGATGGACATGCATATCTGCGCTGGAACACCTCTATTAACACATACTACACCAGATCTCAGTTACAGCGCCTACATCGGCACATGATGCATCCCAGTGTGCAAAAGCTGTACAACTTGCTGCGCCGTGCACACGCCGAGGACCTCTCCCCAGACACACGCTGCACATTGGAGAACATATCCAAGGACTGCCAAGCATGCCATCGAAACGCACCACGCCCCTTGAGCTTTAAAATAAGGGACGCAGACAAGCTTCAATTCAACCACGAGCTACTGCTCGACATCATGTACCTACACGACGGCTCCTCTACGCAGCGCCCGGTCTTGCACATCGTTGACGCCGGCACGCGCTTTAGCGCAGCGGCATTCCTTCCTGCACTAGATGTCGGTACTGTCTGGAACACATTCGTGAAAGCATGGTCTTCTCTGTACGTCGGCTTTCCAGACTCGATGCTCACAGATCAAGGGTCTGTGTTCGTCTCCGCGGAATGGAACGATGCATGCCGCGCCTCTGCTATCACTCTGCGTCACACCGGCACTGCGAGCCACAACTCGCTCGGGGCTGGCGAAAAATACCATGACACACTACGCAGAATATATCATAAAGTGCGACATGACTATGAGTCCTTACCTGTCGACGTTGTCCTGTCCATGGCCACGAAGGCTATGAATGATAGCGTCGAACCGGACGGCCTCGTCCCCTTGCTCCTGGTTTTCGGCGTCCTTCCTCGCCCACTGCGACCGCCCGCAAGGCACTTTCCGAGCAATACGGTTCGTATTCAAGCTATGGCTGCAGCACGTCATGAATACGAAAAACTAGTCTCTCAAGCCCGCGTACAAGTCGGTCTCAAGAAACAGCCACCCCGATGTTCTGATTACTGCCTCAGACCAGGCATGTTCGTGTACGTATATCGCGACCGCCTTAAGTCATTCACGGGTCCACATATGGTCGCTGAAGTTACAGGAAAACACCTCCGCGTTCACGTTGGGGACAGGACAGGCCCAAACCCCTTCAATATTCCCAAGTGAAACCGGCACCAACACCCACACCACCACCCGAATCCATTTCCATAGCCACACACGAATCCCCCGCTACCGTTGCAACCGTCCTCCACACAGAGATAATCCACCCCACAGACCCGCGCTGCATGCGATTCGACGCAACCAAGCGCCAAGAAATCTTGGGCCTGATCGACAAAGGAACGTTCCGAATTATCCTCCGCGAGGACGCCGGACAAAACCCCAATATCATACCATCCCGGTACGTCCTGTCAATCAAGCACAACGATGGGACGGAGAAACTAAAGGCGCGATTCGTCTTGGGCGGACACCCGGACCGCATGCGCAAATCACTTGTGCACAATTCGACAACCCTGCGCCATTCCTCTGTTCGCCTGGTACTAGCCCTCGCCACGATATTGGGCCTAGACATATGGTCATGCGACGTACGACAGGCCTATCTCCAGGCTGGCTGCGAGCTACAGCGAACAAATTTTACACGGCCGGACGTGTTGGAACTGGCCCCCAACGAACTTGTGCAGATCCTGCTACCGTTATATGGCTTAAGCGACGCTGGAGACTACTGGCATGAAACCCTCATGGGTCACCATCTCAGCCACCAGCGCGTGCAGCAATCAACAGGCGACTTTTCCCTGTTCTTCCGCAGAATAGCGGATAGACTTGTCAGTTTATCCGGAACATACGTCGACGACCTTTTGCAAGCGGCAACCCCCGAGGAGCGCCAAGCCATACAAAAGCGCCTTAAGAAAACATTCGACATATCCGTAGACGAATCCCAAAACATCATCTTCACAGGGATCGAGTGCGACCTGAGCAATCGTCATCTACGACGACTCTCGCAAAAGAAAGACATCCACCGCTTACAACTTCTCCCTACTTCCGCCTCATGGGATGATTTGCGCACCCTCAGAGCCAAGCTTCTTTGGGTCACACACACGCGGCCCGATATCTGCTGTGCTGCCTTATTTCTATCTCAAACTACGCAAACATCGTTCTGCCACGATACCATTAAGCTGGCAAACAGGGTTGTTCGACATTTACGAAACACATCCAGTATCCAACTGAGATTTTCCAAGTTGAACACGGCCACTCTCCGCCTCCTTGTTTATGTAGATGCAAGTCTGGCCAACTCTAAGGGACACAAGTCACAGCTGGGATTCATAATTCTATTGGCGGACGACAGCAATCAGGTCTCATTCCTGCATTTCTCATCCGCTAAGAGCAAGCGCGTCACGCGTTCTAGCACCGCCGCCGAAACGCTCGCATTCGTCGAGGGCTTTGACCATGCCTACCTACTTCAGCACGATCTTCAACGCATGCTCGGTCAATGCGTGCCTATCCTCATGCTCACTGATTCGGCACAGCTGTTCTCGACCCTCACTCGAGCCAAGAGCACAACAGAACGGCGTTTGATGATCGACATGGCAGCCCTCCGAGAAGCCTATAATGAACGAGCGATCGCAAACATTGCTTTAATCAACTCTGGTGACAACCCCGTCGACGGCCTAACTAAGATCGAGGCCAACCCAGCCCTTCTGGACCTCTTGCGTACAACAAAATCTCCCACCCGATCGTCCAGTACGTTATTGAACGGAAATAACAATCTTCAGTCTCATCTTCCGCCGACAAACTTGATGCGGATGTCGGTCGTGCAGAGCAGGATGTGTTCATGAGGCTCATCCGACACTCCATCCTTTCTTAGCCCCCCCCGTCATTGCTGTAACCACGACACGTGTCCACCCCGGAACAAATGTGCAGTACGGACGCGACCGACACAAGCCGAACTATCGGTGATTCCATCTCACTGTCGCCGACCAGGTGGGATCCCCCGACGGCTTTAGGCTAGACGTAGACTGCGACTCCCGCCCCCGGGAGAGAGGGCAAACCGATCATCTCCAACCGTAAAGCAGAACCACACCACCCGCGAAATCACTTGCCACTCCACCCTGTCCTACGGGTAGCCGAGTGGATCGAGGCGCACCTCGCTCATTCTCTCGCCGCGCCTCCGTGCTACGAGACGTGCAGTCACTATTATCGCTCTCCGTTCTACGAGAGGATACATAGTGAAACCCACACCACCTCCCCCTAACCGCGCTTCACCGTCAAGAATAGATCACGATCGTGTGGTATAACCCCCCCTGGGGCTTTAAATTAGATTAGATCAAGAACTAGATCAGCTACTGTAGAGCGTCGAGCTCTACAGTACAACCGCGCGTGTCCACGTGTACACCACGGGGACAAGGGACACGCGCATACACGTGCTCACGTGTACCGCGCGCGGACGAAGCGCGCACGCACCACGGGTACTACGTGGACTGTCAGCCTCGACATAGCTGACAGTATTACAGTGCAGGCCGACCTGCACTACAGTAGCCCACTACAGTACCTCGGTACTGTAGTGTTATGATAGATTGTTTTGTATATTAAATACGGAGCGGACCGGCGGCGGCGTAGGGGGACAAGCACGGGCTTGTCCTCAACCGACCGCCAAGGTCAGTCCACCCAGCTTATTCTAAACGTCGCCTTCGCTCTTCGCGCGCGTTTAGTCGGAGCCGAGCCGGAGTGGACGCGCAGCACGCGAGCGAGCACGGAACCGCCTCCGCCCGTCAGCACTGGTACGTCACCCAGTGCTGCTCCGGGGCGTCGAGGCGTCGATCCGCTCGTGCGTGCGCGCGTCCCTGCTCGCTCTCGCTCTACCACCGCTACCCGGGCCCGAGCCCGGTTCCGTAGCTGGTTGGCCCGCTTCACCCCTTCTCCGATCCGGGGTCTACAGGTCGAACTGCGCATACACCTCCAGTCGTTTGGGGGTGTTTATGCTACAGATCGGAGTCTATTGGAGGGTCGAATAGACTCCGATCGGAATCTATTCTATGAAAATTTGTACAGTATTGAATAGATTAGATTTTTGCGGTAGAGGGACGTTCGAGGTTTTCGAATGAAAAAATCCCGATAGATTTCATTTTAGACTACCGGTAGAGATGCTCTTAGAGAGAGCTTCAATAGAGAGAGCTTTATTTATTAGAGGGAGCTTCATTAGAGAAAGCTTCATTAGAGAAAGCTACATTAGAGCAAGCATCATTATTAGAGAGCATCAACGTTATCAATGGGATCGGATGGTACATCGCAACAACTTCACGTCCCTACTCCTCCTCCCAAAACTTCTCCGTGTCCTCGGGAAACCAGGTCATCCACTTGCCCATGAGCCTCCCGTCCCGAAGCCCCTCTGCAAACTTCTGCGAGCTCTCCCCAATCCCCTTGCAGACGTCCACACCAGCCTGGATGGACGGCTCAAAGTGCACGCCCGCATACAGCCTGCTCACGCCACACAGCTCGCTCCACTCGCTCAAGTTCTTGAACTCAATCCGCGTATCCTTCTCCGGAACCTGTCCGGGGTAGAACTTGCTCGACCCCTTGGGCACCGTGATCCCGAACGGCAGGTCCTCGCGCGGAGCGTTCAGCTTTGCGTGCTCGACCAGCGCGCTGCACGTGCACGAGCTGCCCGACGAAAACTCTTGATGCGGCATCGTCCGGATGTACGGCTGCCAGTCCCCGGCACGGATCCGCACCGCCTTCTTCCCGGGCCCTCCCCACACCTTCACCTTGCGCTCTCCGAACAGGAACTCCATCGTCTGTCCCGTCGGCCGCACCGCGTCCACGCGTCGCTTCTCCTTCCATGCCGTCACCATCGAGTCCAGCGTCGCCACCGCCCCGCCAAGCCCGTACACCATATCGTCGTCCAGATTCCAGTGGTTGGCCGGGCCCAGAATCCCGAACCGCAGCGCCGTCGCGATGCCGGGCAAGCCGGCGGGGTTGTCCTCCGTGCGGAACGCCTTGCCCTTGTTGTCAAAGTACTCGGCCAGCACGCGCTGCTCCGTCGTCAGCGCCGCGAACGTGGCGAGCACCTTGCGCGCGTGCCGCCGAAGCGCGGCCACGTCCGACTTGAGCGCTGTCTTCACCGTGGCGCCGCCGCGCTTGAACGGGGCGGGCGCACGGCGCGCGCGCACCTCGCTGCGCGTCAGCCCGAACGCTATCGTCCGACCCGCGAACGGCACCACGTTCTTCTGCCGGAAGAAGAAGCCGCGCCCGTTCGACTCCAGCAGCGGCTGCCAGCGGAACGGGTGCGAGATCTTCCACGGGCTGTTCTTCGGCGTGTAGCCGGTGTAGTCGGCGAACGGCTGGCGGTACTGCGCGGGTGTGCCGGCGATGTCGCCCTCGGCGTTCCAACCGTCGATGGCCATCAGGCGCGCCGTGTCGCGGCCGGCGCGGTTGCCGATGCCCACCGGCGTATTCATGTCTGTGGAGCGGTCGTTCGGGTTGAGCCCCTCGCGCTCGAGCAGAGCGCTGAAGACGGGGATGCCGGAGTTGCCGCCGAAGCTGACGGGTGAGGCCTCGTAGAGGCGGAAGAGGGCGTACAAGACGGCGACGTTCTTGTTGTCACGCGTGTGCTCCGAGGCCGGGCGACGGAAGCGAGTGCGGTTGAAGATGTCGGCCGCTGTGGGATGGTAGTTGCACCACGCGTTCCACGCGGCGATGTTAAGGTAGGTGGTGCCGCGGAACTGGATCGGGGTCTCGAGCCCGTCGACGACGATGCGGTCGAAGATCTCTGGGAAGACCAGACTGGCGAGCACGCCGCTCTCGCGGTCGATGGCGTTCGGGGTCTTGCGGCCGGGCGGGGCATCCACAGCGAGCGCGGCGCCCAGTATGAGCAGTGCACTGCATGTTAGCGCGGTGAAGAGGGCGGCCCTCATGCTGGCAGTTGGTCCGGTACGAGTTGCAGTGGCGGAGGCGTGTCGGGTTGGTAGAACGGGTGAGGGTGAGGAGGTGGTTGGGGAGGGAAGCGTCGTTACAGGGCGGGCATGCGCTGTTTAAATAGGCGTCGCGCGGCGGGCGTCCGAGCTTGAAGGAACGCGCAAGCTAGCGCACCAAGCGGCTCAAGGCGACGCACCTCGCGGGGGAGGGTCTCCCCCAAGCGCGGCAGGGCGGCTTCTTGCTGCCGCATGCGTGGGCTCTCGCTCCCGCAGGAGAGGGGTGGGCGGTTCTCCGCGGGCGATCCGGAACCGCGCCGCGTGCTGCCGCCACCGCCGCCTCCCCTCCCTTCCCCCGCGCGGCGCTGACCTGTACGCGCCTGTGAATTTTCCCCGCGGCGCTTTTTGCCACGCTCGTCTGGCGCAAAATCACGCCGCGCCGCGCCCGCGCCGGCGTCCGCGGGGGGGGAGAAGGGAACGGAACCCTCCTCCGGCGGGGACGGGCGCGGGGAGACCGGCTCTGGGCTCTGGGCTCTGGGCTCCGCGCTGTCACGCGCCGTGCGACGCGTGCGGTGACGTCAGACGGAGACGTCTCGCGCCCTGTACGTAACTTTACGCCTGCCCATGGAACGTACAGTACTGTTGCGGTTATTCCAACCGCGTGGCACTCGCGACCGGTTCAATGAGGGCATCCACCCAAAGTCTTTACTTCCTGACTGTACGCTGCCTCCCCCAGCCTTCTATCTTCCGGAGGTCGCCCTTAAGTACTCTCTACTCCCTGCGAGAAGCTCTCTATCCCTGTCTCCCTTACTTCCCCGTCCATCGTCCCTGACTCTCCATCGCCGCCTCACATCATCCCCTTTCCTTTCGCCACGCTCCGGTGGCGTCGACTACACCCCCTCTTCCCCCGCTCCTGTCGGACTCTTGCGTTTCGGTTCCCTACCCAGGTGGTGCGTATCCACATTTCGGTTCGCAGTCCAGTTTTACACGTGTCCACGTGCCGTTCCGCAACACTCGTCCCTTTTCCTTCGCTTCTGCCAGAGAAACAACCCAGCAAGCGGGGACGGGGATGAATGAACGCCAATCGTAGTAGGAGCAGGTATTCGCAATCATCGCTATGGGCTCACGTCGTTGTGTGTCGGCGCGTCGCGGTCAGTGCCTTTGTCAAACAGTCTGACGATGACTGCGGGTATGTTGCTCTCCCTGGTCCATCTTGGGGAATTCCTCCCCGCGATTTGCAGCTTGAACCATCTTTCTTCCTGCCCCGAGCGTCGATTGATTTTCATCTTTGATTCTTGCATGCGTCTCAGGAGCCGTATCTTATCAGGAAAAACTCCGTTTCTCGCGCTACAGGTCTGCACAGCCCCGTCAGGAATTTTTTTCATTCGATTAGGGTGTACACGCGCGGTTTTCCCACCCATTTCTGACTTGAGCACGTAGCTGACCGGCGACAGGACTTCATCGATGCGGTAGGGGCCTATCCAAGGGCGAACGATTTTGTTTCCCTCCTTGCAAGCGAGTTCAGGCGATCAAACCAGCACTCTACAACCTTCCCTCAATATCATTTTCCTGACGTCCCTGTCGTAGACATCGGCTGCCCTTTCCCGTGCCTTCCTTCCACGCGACAGAAGGCAATTGTGCAGTCCACAGAGGTGTTCAGTCAGGTCATACGGCTCGCCCCGCAATCTGCGCGCCTCTCCCGATCCCCAGGACATGAAGGCAGGAATACCAAACATCGCCTCGTACGGTGTGATTCCAGTGGCTTCGTGTACACTCTTGTTGTACTGGAAACAAGCGAGTGCCACATGCGAGTCCCAGTCCTCAGTCCCTGTGCTTAAGAAGCAGGCTAGGTCTTGCACCAGTGTTCGGTTCCAGCGCTCCACGCACCCGTTGGGTTGAGGGTGAAGTGGAGAGGTGAGAACGCGACGGACACCGAGTTATCTTGCCATTTCTCTGACGACGTTGCCGATGAGGTTTGGTCCTCGATCCGAGAGCATGGACTCCATAGGCCCAAATATTGACACCCACTCATCCAAAATGACCCTGGCCACTGTGTCAGCCCGTTCATCGGGTATGGGCAGCGCGCGAGCAAACCGGGTGAACCTGTCGATCATTACCAAAATCTTCACACATCCCGCGGCTGTCCTTGGGGTAACCGTCTGGAAGTCAACTGCCACCTGCTCGAAGCCTCTACGTGGGTGGTACACGACCATCTTGGCATGCTTTTGGGGCTTGGTGGCTTTCGCTGCGGTACAAGCCACGCAGCACATAACCCTTTGCTGCAGGTCCTTTCTCCAGCCCGACCACCAAAAATAATTGCTCAGGCGGTCCGTAGTTCGCCTGACTCCGTAGTGACCGCTTAGCCTGGACCCATGAACCTGGTCGAGCACTGCGTCAACTAGCTTCGGAGGTACTACAATCAGATCTCTCACAGCCGTCGTCCTCCGCAACAGTCCCTCCTCGTCCACAGCATATCCAAGACCTCGCCTCTTCCAGGCGTAGTCCTTGATATAGCCAAACTCGGCCAGCTGTTCTGTACGGAAGTCCTCCGGTGAAGGCCCCCCACCCAGTCCTGTGATTGCTCAGGAGCGTGCACAGCGCCTCTGCGTCTCCTTGAACGGTCCCGGGATCCTCCATCTCCCGGAAACAGCGTGCGCAAAGTGGTTTCTCGACGGCGTCCCTGCTGAGGGTATCTGGGACGACGAGGTCCCCCCCGGGGGCGTATTTGACCGTGAAGTCAAAATCTTGTATGTCGACCATCCAACGTGCCAATCTGCCTCGTGGATCCCTTAGGGTCATGAGCCACTTGAGGGAGCAACGATCCGTGACTACGACAACGCCCCTCTCCCTATGTAGGTAGAACCTCCATTTACGCAACGCATGTACGAAGGCGAGGCACTCTCGCTCAGTGACTGTGAACTTCTTTTCGGCATCTGAAAGTTTACGGCTTGTGAATGCCACGGGGTACCACCTTTTGTCCTCCCCTTCCTGTAGCAAGACCCCCCCGATGCCATAACCGCTTGCATCCGTCATCAGTTTCTTGCTCGCGCTTTGCCTGGATGCTTTGAGAAAGTCGGGGTCACTGAGGACTGCCTTGAGGTCCTTCCATGCTCTGCGCTGTCGGGCGCCCCAGCGCCTACCCCAATCTGAGATTACCAACCGCTGCCCCCTTCGCTTTTTTTGTTGAACCCGGTGCCAACAAGGACTTCATGGAGGGGCCGAGCAATTTCGGAAAAGTGGTCGATGAAACCCGAGAAAAAATTCATCAACCCTAGGAACCGCATAAGCTCTTCTCCTCCTCCCGGCTCTACGAGGGGCCTGATTGCTTCTACATGCGCATCTGAGGGCTAGATGCCATCTCGGTCGATCTTGTGTCCCAGAATTACAGCCGTGCGCGCGCCAAATTGGCATTTTGACAACTTCAGCCTTGCGCCGGCCTCGTAGAAGGTCTCCAACGCTGAGTCCACCGAGCGAAGGTGCTCCTCTACAGTAGCCGTCCCCAGACTGACATCATCCATAAACGCCTAGATGTCTAATCCCTTCCTGCCACCGAGAATAAGATTTACAACACGTTGGAATGCCGCCGGGGAGTTTTTCATTCCCTGGGGAAGACGGACGTAGCGCAGTAGTCCGATCACGGTGCAGATAGCGGTACAATCGCGGGAGGCGTCTTGCAGCTCGATCTGAAAGAAACCGTCCTTCAGGTCGAACGTCAAAAATATGCTTTTCGTACCCATCCAATCGAGGGTAGCGCGGACATCCTCCATCGGATATGTGTCCGTGACGGTCATTGCGTTGAGTTCGCGAAAATCCGAGGTGACACGCATTGTGCCGTCTTTCTTCTTCACGAAGACGTTGCACGCGGCCCATGGCGAGGCGGCGGGCTCCACGACCCCCATCTTGAGCAGTTTTTCCATTTCTGCCCTCTCTACCTCCTCTTCCCGCGGCGAACGTCGTCCAGCAGGGCAGCAAACGGGGTTTGCGCCCTCTATCAGTTTGATCTCGTGCTGCACACCTCTTATCCTGCCGAGTCCCTTGAAGACCGCACGGCGAGACCACAGTATTTCACGAAGCTTCTCTTGCACCTCTCGCTTCGCATGGAACTGAGACAAGTCCATGTCTCTTATGGCATCCTCGACATCACCATCGCTGATTATCGCCATTTGTTCCGTTCCTGTGTGCTTCGTCGTCATTTTGGCAACGTTTCCCTGGATATTCCTCCCTGAGACCCAGATCCTCCCGCGGAGTGTACGCAGGTCTAGCACGAGTCCGTATCGACGCCTGAACTCGCTTCCAATCAGTAGTTTACTGGGAATTTTTTCAGCCACCAGCACCGGTTCCACGAAAGTGGTGCCCCAGAGTTCGAACTTTGTCGTGCACTACAGCCACGTGTGGCGGCTGTAGGCAGAGCGACGCGCGTTCGGACGCGTAAGGAAATTCGGGAGACCACTCGGTGGATGACCGGAACCGGGATCCGGGCGCGGCTTGCGCGGTAGAGAAGTAGCAAGGTAGTCAGCAATAAAAAGGGGGAGGAATTAAGAGAAAAACAGAGCTAGCAGGACGGAGAGCACAGTAGTTGACGTAGGTCTCGCGCGGGGTGATCGACGCGCGCGGGGAAGGCAGTTGGGATTCCAGGGGTGTAGATGGCTCGGTCGGTATGGGCGAGCCAGTACCGAGTCGAGGCTACAACCTGGAATCCAGAAACCAAGGTAAGAGACCCGAGGCTTCGTGCCTCTTTACTTTGAGTATCGGGTTGACTATATAGTCCCCCGTCGCCGTAATGGCGAAGCTAAATTATATTGTAAATTAGAATAACTAGGAAACAACGGGTGTAACCCCGAGGGGACCAAGTACAGCCCCCATAGGCCCTCTGGGTTGCGGAGGGATTACACGTGTCCACGGGGAGGTCCGGTAGAGCGGCAGGGGAGTCCACGTGTACCCGTGGTACACGTGGCGGCGGCGAGCGCGATTTTCGGCGAGATTAAGACAGCTGTCCCGGCACC